GCACTGTATCTTATTTTAGCAATTGAAACACATAAAAAAACAGAAGTAGTTGATTTTAAACAGTGTGCAGTGGTCCAAACTTATTCCTCACTTTCCTAATGCATTCTTGGTGTCGTAATTATTCACTGTGATGAGTTTATAAGCACTTTTAACAACTTTCAAAGATTTGCAGTCACAGTAAAGTTAACAAACACTAGCAGGCTAAAAGTGAACCAGCCTTACTTGCTGGTTCACAGATTATAACAATGCTTTAAAATTAGATGCAGGCAGCACAGAGGTCTCATTTTGAACCTACGAACTTTGACAATATGTGTCCTGGGGTAAGGCAACTTTACTTTATTACATGAAAACAGACTAAAAATATATATAATATGATAACTTTTAAGTGTCTGAATATGGTCTTTTGCCCATTAATTATCACCTATTACAAATTCAGATGTTTCTCTGCTTTCAAACCATTGAGTTTTCTGTGACTCAAACATAAAAGTTTTATTCGAGCCCCTAAGCATTGCATTGGCCATTATGAGTTTTTGCTGTTGGTAATTTGGACTCTGACAAAGCAGTAGTCACTGTGGAGCTAGCAGTGGAAAATTACACTTTACTGGCTCGGTTTCACAGGTGGGGAACCTGATAAGCATTTTTTCGCATGAGCAAAGATCATTGTCGGCGAAACAGATGTAGCAGCAACTGTGATGCAATGGAAACTTTTTCAATAATCCAAATGAAAGCAATTGTTTAGACAAAGACTGCTTCTTGTTTTCTACCTCGAAGTGTGAAGTGATCTTTTCTGGAGGCTGGGACATGTTTGCTTGGTATGTGGGCCTTATGGTTCTCAGGAGCTTTAAACGGAGGTTCCAATTTGGATACGTATAGAGCATCACTTCTCAAAGTTTTCACATGAAGTACCACCTCATAAAATGTTTGGCTTGACAATACCAACAGTACAAGGCCAAAGCAAAATTATGGCTAAACCAGGCCTTAAACAGGACTATAATGGACCTAAAGCTGCATTCAAATTATAACTTAATCAAGTGTCAACCAAGACACCTTACACTGTATGGACAAAAGCATATATACAATCACTTAATGTGTCTTATTATCTCCATATATCAAACTACCACCTGTTTGTTTCTATGGAAGTGTTATATGCTTTGGCAGGAATGCTCCACAGTACGGCATTACTTCTTACTTTTATTTATTTACATATTTTAGATTACAAGTGTTTTTATTGCTCACAAAAACTGTGACTGGGGTCACCTCCTCACAGATCTGACCTGTAATTTGGTCATCCTTGTCTCTGTAAAATCTGTATAGTTCTGTATGTGTGTATATATATATATATATATATATATATATATATATATATATTTTTTTTTTTTCACTTTAAGACCTGATACAGTCCTGACTTAGCCCTGGTTTATACCTGGTTTAGTCCTGGTAAAGTCCTCATTTAGCCCTTGTTTAGCCTTGGTTTAGCCCTTGTTTAGCCCTGGTTTGGTTGTGCTTCTGTTGCTGAACAAAAGATTATAATCCGGTATTTCTGTTGCCCGTGTTACTGCTGTGTCATATGCGCTCTCTCTTGTTGGTGTGAAATTGAATTGAGTGTTTCTGTACACATCACCACAGGGCGCACCAGTTGAATGGGTTTATAGCTCAGAATGCAGCAGCTCTGAGAAAAAACCCCCACTGTGCTCTGGTGTAGACTTTGCATTTGTTATGGATCAATCTTTCTGTATGATTTGTACTTTATTATTGATTCCAACTCCACAAGAAAGTGTAGTTGAAACAGAATAATCTATATTCTTAAGTAGCTCATTAAGTGATGGGAGCACAGGCAATGCAGATAAAGCAAAGTACGTAACTCTGTCCAATTTATGACTTTGTTTTAAAGGTCCACTGTGTAACTTTTCCCGCGGAACATCTACCACCTGCTTGTCTTCGTGAGGGTGATATTGCTTTGTCTGGAATGTTCCACAAACATGCATTCTTACTTTACTTTGGATAAAGAAGTTAAATGCCATACTGTGGAGCATTCTAGGCAACAATAACATCCCCATGGATACAAGCAGGTAGTGTGACTCCACCAGAAAGTTTTTGGGGATTTTTTTTTACTTTTTCGTTTTTAAATTTCAGTATCCTTGATAACAGACTAACAACCCAGCAGCCATCCAATGCACGCAAAAGCCCAGTGTTGTGGTTAATGATACCTCACAGAGCATCAATACACATATACAATTCAAAATTTCCCCTCTATACAAGCCATTGCTTTTATGTTAGCAGTTTCTGTTACTACCTGTTTCCCATTGAACACACACACCGCCAAACAATCTGTGCTGCTCATAGCAATTTCCAGCAACCATTAGATCATCTTGTTAATAATACGCAGAGGGAAGACAGATGTTTCTCCCTTAGAGAAAGACAGGGCTGCTACGTCAACAGTAAAAATAGGGATTCCTCACCTGAGACACTTTTGTTGCAGTCAATGTGTTATTTAGTTGTCAAATCAGTGTCATTTTTATTTTATTTTTTATTTCTTGTTTATGTCTCTACTACCAAACCTTACATTGTCCTTTGTTTCAAATTAAAACATTGCCCCTATAGTCATGAGACAAGTGACATCTGGAAGCATTACATTATAAAAAATATTAACCTCGTATTGAATTCACTTATCAAGTTTTTGGATCAGCTGAAACTCAATACTAATTTGATCAGATATCAGTAATGAAAAATATTAGAAAAATAGAACAAAACTGGACCTTTCCTGAAAAAGGTTTGTAATGGTCTTGATCTGTATCAGAATAAGCCACATGTTACTAGAGAAACTGAGACTAACTGAAAAACTGTAATGTTATTTGAGAGGGACTTCTTTAAAAGCACAAATCAGCTCACCTGTTATTGTTCCAGCTAAGCCAATTCTTTATGGTCAGACTGTGTTGAAAAAAAAAAAGTCAGAGCAGTGCCTACGGTTAGCATCACACAACAGGGAATGTTGATGACATGTGCTGCAAAGTATCAATTGCTTAAAAAAGGAGCATTTCTAATATGGTGGTGTGCCTTTTCCTTATTAAAATTGAAATCCTTTGAAATTGAGCATCAAGATAACACTATAATAAGCCATTAATTTAACAAATTAAGTCTTAAGTAATTAAGGCTGCTAAACTGTATTTTAATTTGTTGCACATTTTGTATTTATAGTATCATATTTTTCGGACTATAAGTCTCTCCAGAATATAAGTCGCACCAGCCAAAAAGTGCGTAATGAAGAAGAAAAAACATATATAAGTTGCACCTTTTGGGGAAAAATGTATTTTATAAAATCAGAGACCAGGAACTGACATTTCATCTTGAAAGGCAAGTTATAGTAATAATAACAATAGAACAGAGAACAACAGACTGTTAACGTCACATATGAACAGTTATTCAGATAATTATAGCATAAACAACAGAACAAGTTTACCAAACTCTTCATCTCACTCCAAATCACCATTGAATTCTTCATCCTCGGTGTCACTTCTGAGCAACGTGGCGACCTCCGGAGATAAACAGAGGGCTGCTTCCTCTTCTGTGTAGCTGTCATCAGATTCAGCATCAGTTCCAGTTACAATTTTTCCGGCCTTTCTGAATCCCGAGAGGATGGTTTCGGTTGTCACTGAAGTCGAGGCTTTGTCGATCCATCCAATCACTTACAGGAAAGTTGCATGGCGCATCTTCCTGGTTACCGTGTTCTCTGTGTTTTTGCTGTGTTCTCCATCCCCACTTTCAGCCAGTCCCTCACAAGTTTCTCGCTCACTCCAAACTTTTTTTCTGCTGCATATTTCACTACTTGCCGCAAAACAGCAGCTTTTTCTGCAGGAGACATACGCAGTAGAGCGAAGTGACAGTGGTACAGGAGTAAAAGACGTAGCAGATACTGGCACACGAGCCTAGAGCCTCTCTTGGCTGTCAGTGTGAAAATTTTAATATATAAGCGGCACCAGAGTATAAATCGCAGGACCACTCAAAACATGAAAAAAAGTGCGACTTACAGTCCGAAAAATACAGTATTTAGGGCTATATGTTTATCAATCTGACATCAACCAATCTATCCATAGAAAATCTTGTGTAGGACGCTGCCAGCACATTTCATCCACTTCCTTTGTATATTGTATTTACAGTCTATTGGCATAAAGACAGTGGAAAATGGGGAGGAACGGTGAACTCTCATAAAACCAGTGGTTGCTTGTTGCAGCTGATCGTGCATGATGCCCTTTTTTTCACAGTGTAAAGATGTTGATATCAGTTTACATCATTTTGTCTCTCTTGGACTCTCGGCTTCCTGTGTTTACGAGGATTTGCACAACACTGAAGCATTCCCAACAACAATGAGCGAAATCTGCCGGCTTTGTAGCATTCCTGGAGAAACATAAATTCAAATTGTGGTGCAGAGTTCGTGCTGTATAACATCAAGAATGACTAAACGCAACAACTGTCAATCATTGCTTTTACTGTGGCCCCCCTGGTTCCTATTAGAAAAGGTTTTGGCCCCTAAACTTAGACATACGCAGCATTTTGGCCTTTAATCCCTGAAAATTCACTGCTCTCAAACCATCGCAGTAAAAGACAAAGCACGATAGAGAGAAAAACAAGAATTTCCACGTACATAAAGTTCTCTCGTAATTGAAATCTGGTGTTCGTTTTTGTAAATGGGTTTGGCAGTAAAGCTATTTTAACATTGGCAACACTAGCTTATTTGAGCTGTCAGGGCGGCCTCCCCGGACTGTAAGCCTGCAGACTAGTTGATGTTCTAAATGTTTTCGCTTGTGTAAATACCACTCTTCCTTTTCGTGCCCCTTTTGTCAGCGAGGGTCTGCGTTTGACATGTGACACCTGAGTTAGGAGAATAGCGAGAAGGATAGCCCAAATTGGAAAGCTACAGACGCGTGTATGGTTTTCATTTGGGTCTTTTCAAAGAAGTTGGTGACCCGGAGAGCTAACTGTTTTTCTCTCTCCTCTTTCCACAGTTCCGGAGATTTCTATGTGATTCACCACTAGAGGTATGTATATCCTGTTGACAGTCTAATAAAACCTTTTAAAGTCTCTTTTCAGCCATGGGTGTTGCCTGTAATGACATGCCCTGGCCCAGAAAGGGTCTTCCTGCCATAATTACTGTCATTGATGTAATAAAGGAAAGTAAATCTTCTTTTCCTGTTAAACACACTCGCACTGTGCCTATGTGTTGTCAGGCGCCCACAAAAGAAGATTAATGTATGTTTCAGTGGTGCTTTACATGTGGTGTGGGCAGCGTCCATGGTTTAATGGCCATTTATAATACGGTGGATTATAGTGGAGTCAGTGGAGTTTACCTGCACAATACTGAAAATATGACCTATTTGTCTTGAATGCCCTCTAATTATGTTGTGGGATTTTAAGTCTTAGTAAAGAAAGCACATGGCTAATTGGAAATGTCATCAGTGTCATCAACAAATATAGCACTATTAATTCAGGACTATTCAGAAATTAATATTGTATCAACTATTATACTATAGATTTAAAAAAGACTTATTAAGCTTTTTGGGTACTTGATTAAACTATAGCATACTATGTAAATACTTATTTTACATGTTGTTCATTGTAAATTGCAATATTGATTTGAAATTTTTGATTGTAAGTAAGTACAGAAAAGTGGGTAGGTGAAAATTTTCAGAGCATATGCAGGACAATTCAGTATTACTCAAATAAGCATGAATCAATTGAAATACAACTTTGAGTTAGCTTTAAAAAAAAATATATATATAATAATATATATACTTTTTTATGTAACCCGTCCACTTTAACTCTATGTTTTTATTGCAATGACAGTTATTTTAATAGCAAATTTTTAAAAACTTTTCTGAGAAAGTTAAATATATCTAAATATTCAAAACTTTTGGCTAATACAAGTTGTTACTGTGTACTGTATATTGTTTGGCTCACCCATAGCCTGCCAATCTCGCATCTTGGCAGTTTTTCAAGCTATCTTTTTATACCATTTCACATTTGCTATTTGTCAAAGTGCCAAGTGTTTTTTTCCATTCAGTTTGAGTTATCTGTAACTCCCTGATGTGAGAGGAGGAGGAGTGGGTGATGGAGCAGAGCAGTGAAATGTGGTGTCCAGATTGTGCTGTGGCTGTGTTGACTTTGCTCTGGCCTTGACTGCGCTGAGACATACGGCTCCTCACTTTGGGTGGTGTGCTACAAATTAAAGGCTGATTAGGCAGCTCTGCGGGCACCACTCTGGGACCAAGCAGATGGTTTCTGTGGCTATAGTTAATACTGTACATTCAAGCATCAAGCCACGCAGCACAAAATACATATGCTCAAGTCAAAGCTGGTATGTGGTACCAAATTTATGTGAGCCTTCCAACTGTATGACAGAAAAAAATGAAAGTGAAAGAAATATATTTTATTCACTCTTTTGAAGTTGGTCTGAAATCTCGCTGCCCATGCAATTGAAAGATTTTTATTTGGCTAATATATTGTGCTGTAAAATGTACAGTGTGGTTTGTTTTTTGTCTATGATTTAAACCAAAACGAAAGCTGGGCAATAAGACAACTTTGTGTTAAAAAAAAAAATATCGAGATCATAAAAAAGATATTTGTCAGTGCCATTTATCATGTTTTTACTGACTGAATACCGGACCTTTCAAATAAAAAGATAATTGAATTTGATTTAGTCGATTAATTCCCAACCCTAACAAAAACACTTATCAATTAGTCATTTTAAACACTGTTTAAATGCACTTTTTTTTACTTTACTTCTGCATGCCGGGCAAGTTATAAGTTGCAGACCTTCAAAATTGGCGAGCAAGATACTATATCAGTTTCTAAGAACTGACTAGGCAGTTGTCACTGTCAGCATATTGATCATATTAAATCAAATCAAATGTTTTTAAAGCACATTTTAAAACAGCCAGAGCTTGATTCATGTGTAGCCATGGCGACATTGTTTTGAAAAGTGACCTTCTCAACCCTGGTAATGACATTGTTCAAACTAAGCCATTTTGGTCATCGCTGCATAACCACACATTTATTTGCCTACCTCATAAAACATATGAGATACTTACAGGATTAGTGGTTAAACTGTGGTTTCTATGTGGCGAGATGTGGCATGTTTGTAGATAGGGTCAGTGCTCAACTCAGCGCCCTGTTGAGAGCCAATCATCACTAACCCCATGCATAGCCGACCCAGGAAAATTACACTACCAGTTAGACCTAGGGCACAAGCAAAATTAAACAGCCAATTTAATGGGACTGGAATTGACAATCACACCGATTTATAGAGAGCAGAGACAGCAGCTCCGTCACCGTGTGGGACCCTGCTTCTGGCCCCTCCGGTCTTTTCTAATGAACGTCATTAGTGTTTATAGGAAACAAGCTTTTATCACCTCGTGAAGGCTGGCGGCCAGGCACTCCAACTTGCACAGATTTGCTCTCACACACTGACACGAAACTCGCACTTTTATTTAACACGTAATCTACTGCTACCACATTGTCTGCAAAAATATTAAATAAATATGACTAAAGCAAGTCTATTTCAAGTGATTAGGTAAGACAACAGAAGAAAACGAGGATGTAAAATAGTTTTGCTTTGTTTTGATTTAGTTTAAGTGCATCTGGGTTAGTCCTGGTTAACTAGAATTAGGGCCAAACCAGAACCTTACTAAATTTGAACCTGGCTTACTTAAACCTGACTTAATTGAAAACATACCTTGCATTGTTATTAGCGCACCAATACTGAATTACGTCTAACAGGACTTGGCAGTTGTTTTGCAGCCCACCATATGACGTCCACGCACCAGATTTTGAGAACCACTACCTCAAAACTAATATCAGTGTTTCTTGTTTGGCTCATTTCTAATCCCTTCTGCTTTTATTTCCTCTCCTGTACCATGAAATTTATCATTATTATTACACAGTCTGGCATCCTCTGCGTGTAGCTTGCATCTGTCTTCTATCAGCGTGCCATTAAAATACACAGACATTCAGCACATGGACCTGCCTAATGTGTGGTTCCTCATCTCTCATGTAAAGGCCTATTTGTCCTAATGTATGTAAACAGCACTTTTCCAAATTCAACGGCCAGCTTGTCTCATTGTTTGTTTGGGAAGCCGTTCCATTGCGTTGAAATTGCAGGATTCGTGCCGAAAGCCGGATACTATTACCATCATCTCCCACCTCATTCGTGCATTTACACACACAAAGACAGACGCTATTAGCAGCCCCATTTGGACTTTTAAGCATGTTTAGTCCTAAGCAGGTGCCTGTGACTTCGTCTGATGTTAGGGGATGTTTATGTTGGAAGCAGAGTAAAAAAATATAATATTATAATTGAATCTTATTGGTAAACATCAAAACAATATCACTCATGTAAAAGTTTAAAAAGCAGCTCCTGTAAGTATTGGACAAGTAAAAATATATCTGGGTGATCTCTAACTTTGAATGTAACTAGGGATGCTCTGATTCAGCCTATTCAGTTTCAATACCAATTCTGATACTTTGAAGACTGAAAACAGATTTTATTTTGTTTACACAATAATAAAATAAGACGGAACTGATCCACATGTGTTATGTAGCTGTTATTTATCTCTCAACTACAAAACAACTTTGTGTAAATAAAGTTTAAATATTTTGAGACTTTCTGGGCCGACTATGATTTATTACATCAATTTATATCTCAGGATATCGCCTGAAGCAATATTTGGAAGCCGATTTAATTTATCAGTATCAACGCAGATATCAGATGCCAGTATCGGTGCATGCCTAAATGTAACTTCTGGCATTTTTTGGTGTTTTAGTAATGTAGTTATTTTACAAACTGACAGCACCTGTAATTTAATGTCCAAATTCAAACTATACGTAAGTAAGTTATCCCTTTTTTCAAATTTAATTACCATTTTTTTATGACTTTAAATACATGCATTCTTATCGTGAGCAGGTTCACCTCTCCACAAATCTGACCTGATGTACTATTAGTGACACGTACTTGTCTTTATGTATATAAGTAACTTTAAATCCATACTGTGAATCATTCTAAGCAAAGCAATACTCACTTACAACTTAAACTTACTACTTCTTTCCTTACCCCAGTTTTGTATACCAGTATGTGTTTTATGGACTGAGTCAAGTTCATGCACCCATCCTGCTTGTGTTTGCTCGGTTTATGGCCTCCGTGTGTCTCACCAAAGGGCAAACTCTCATTAACAGGGTGTAGGCCAATTAGTCCCCGCGTTTTTATGATCCCAGATCCTTGGCCACACCACAACACTTAACCATCTCCCTGGACTTTCTTTAAAGACTGTATGCTGGGTTTTGGCTATTTATTCAAATAATTCTCAACTTCTAATCAACTTTACACTGCAGATTATAATTATAATATTAGATCTGTGATGAGACTATCCATAGCAACCAGATATTCCTTAAATAATCTTTGACCCAGTTTGAACCTGTTCTTAGAGCCAAATTAATCTCTCTTAATCACCACAAAACACTACCATCCCTTCTTTTTAGGCTGTATTTAGGCGCTTGTCTCATGGCAGCAATTATACAACTACCACAACCACAAGTTGGTTTGGGATATGATGAGATAATCACCACACCTCCCAGAATCTCTAAACATCTTTAGTAATTGTAAATATTCTATCCTTCACACATTAAAACTTAAAGCTGCACTATGTAACTTTTCTGCTTGTCATCATTGCTTCATTTCTTCATTGCTTTGCCTGGAATATTCCACAAAAAACACTTAGCTCTTTTATTATAGGCATTATTATAGGTATTTTGTTGTTTGGGGGAAAAAAAAAAAACTTGTGAAAGATGCTGTCTTTCTCTTGGTAGGATTGCCTCTCCATTGAGCTGACTGGTAACTTGGCTTGCCTCTATAAAGACAGATTTAATGTCATACTGTGGATCATTGTAGGCAAAGCACCCTCACCGTAAAAGTTCAAAGATAGTGCCTTTATACCTTAACAGTGCTTGTTAAATGATGAAGCATAATTAAAATTCAACTAATGTTTTGTATTGGCAGCCCATTCACCGTGCTCAGCTCATGAATTCAATTGAAAACTGCTGCATATTTATCAGCTACAAAACATCATGAAAGTTATTTCATTATAGTCCTTTTTTTCTCAAAATCGCTGGATCTTTGTTATTTTCCATTTCACCAAAATGTTCCGCATGCTAACACTCTGCTTGTGCTTGACTGACATGTGAAATGACTGGCATCTTGAGCAAATATACTTTCTCTCTCTTTCTCTTTCTCTGTACCTACTTGAAAGCTTCACAGGAAACACTCAGCTTGACACGTCTTCACAGTATGGGCACTGTGTTTCGGATAAAACAAACTAACTGAACAGACTTTACCTATTTTCACAGTAGATAAGGCGTTGCAGTGATGGCGTGCTGAGTGCCCGGCCATATGCGAGTCATTTGGGGCTATATGTGGTTTCAAACGTTCCTGAAAATGTTTAGATTGTTGTCACAGTGGCAAGGACACAGCCATTAGGCTTTCGTTGAGGTGAGGTCTCGGTCAGTCACACAAGATCGGCCTTTAAAATGGTTTGAAGTTACAAATATACAATCTAGGGCAGCTGTTAACTCCTCTACCTCCTGTCGTACCATTCACATTTTAGTCTAAATATGTAGAAACTTTTGACTGAAGTAAAAGCCCACACTCTTAGATTTTAACTGGTGCAGAGGAGCCACTGACAAAGCCTGCACTGTTGTATTTGGAGGAAGAATAACAGGAGCTGGGCTTTCACTACAACCATGCGTCTCTAAGTGCTACAGATGTGAGAACAATCAATGCCCACACGTTCATTCATGATAGGGAGGAATGATTTAAAAAAAAAAGATCAGTTCTGACAAGTATTACAATCTGGATCGAGTTCGCCAATCCATAAAAAAATACTTTAAGTTTACAGTGCACTTTATAGATCGGTCCAGGAGCTTTGGCATTTTGAAATGTGAACTTTTTAAACTAATACAAAAATCTGTTTTAAGTCTTGGCATTTGAAGAGGTCCAAAGTTTTATGCATTACAACATGAAAATTATTTGTTTATAGTGGACATTTTATTACCAAAAATACATGTTTGCGACCTTTACTCTGTGTCTTCAGGTTTACTCTAACAGAAACACTCAATCTGTTGTAATTTTGTATATGTTTCATGCTTAACTCTAAATAGAACAAAAATATTTTAAAGGACCCGTCGTACTTTCTGATATATGTTATAATGTTGTTTCCACATCAACAATATTCTAACATGGCCTAAAGCTCACAAGAGTCAATTTTGTGTAATATAGGACCTTTAAATGATCTTTAAAACAGCCACTTATTTCAAAAAACTGTATTGTGCAGTTCTTAAGCTCGACTAGAAGTGCCAATTCTTAAATACCCCTGAAGGTGCTGTTTATTAATGTGCAGAATGTGAACAAGAACGTATGCTTACCACATATGAAACAAAAGACGCATTGAAAAACTATATCTCACCAGCCCCATCGACTGCACCATAATCTTGTCATCACTTTGGCGGACAGCATAAAGACCCATGTATTTGTATAGCTGCAGGTAGAGAGTCTATGTTTAGTCAGGTTTAATTCATTCCGAGTTTGAGCTCAGTGGTGCAGTGGATTACCCCGCTCGCTCTCTCTGTTGTGATAACTAGCAGCGTCTGTGCGTTGTAACTAGGTCCATATGAACGCGAGGGTCCTGTTACTCCGACTATGAAGAAAGGCGCAAACATAGAGCAATACCTGGGCTTAATGTGACCTTTGACCTCTACCCCTCCTGAGTAAGCCCCCGATAAAAGCAGGTCTTGTGAGTTGATTGAAAAAACGCAGCAGGCGGATCCCGATGCAAAATGAAAAGTGTGTCAAGCACTTAACGGTTTTATTAATGGAGTATGGGCTCAAGCACATTCTGGGGTCCCACATGGAGAGAGACAAGCGCTGTAAAACTAACACTGGATCCTACAAAAAAGATATAAGTTATATGTAAATTGTACCTGTTTCTTTTCATTAATCAAGTTGTAAAATTATTAAAAGTGCACTTGACTTTTTCTACTTTTGTCAATGGGGATATTATTCCTTGGCCTGGAATATTTCAGGGTATGGCATTAAATACACATAAATAAGTACAGGTGTTATCAGTGCCAAAAGATGTTTATTCTTACTGTGAATGAGCTCACTTCTCCCCAGATCTGACCTGTAATTGCTTCTTGCTTTACTCCTTGGGTCCACTAGAAATGTTAAAAAGGGCATCTTTAAGCTATATTATCATATTGTATACAAGTTATTCATTTTACATTTTCCAGTGTATCAAAATGTGTTTCCCTTGAATTTGAATATTGAATCCTTTCATTTAAGCCAGAGAAAACTCATTTTGGTACTTTCAGTTTAATTACAACTAAATGAGTGAGTTTGAATTGAGAGTAAAACATATTTGGAGTTTAGCAATTTTCTGTTCGTATGGATGTGCCTTGTTTTTTACAGTGTATAGGAAAGCTCTTGGCAGCCCTCCACTAGCGCTGCACGCTAAAATGTCTTGTGCTCATGCCGGGCCCTTTATTAAAAACTCCTCTCCTGGAGTGTTTCTGTGGTCAGTCACCCCCTACCCTCCCGCCCCCTCCGCCTCTGCTTTCCCCACATTTGGGAACCATTAGCGGACAGAAAGTGAGGCTACTGTACACCCCCACTCACATAATGCGTGAGGCCTGGCAGGGGAAGAAACCAGCATATAATACTCCATAATCATACAGGTGTGGCAGATCTGCTCCACAAACTCAAATGGTCCCATAAACCAGTGCGTTTCACTCCTCTGTGATTCATATACTTTATGACCTTGATATACAGCTCACAAGAGTGCTACTATTGTACTCAAAAGTGACCAGGATTCCTTTAAGACAAAGTTATCAGTGACTATAATCCAGTTTTCATATCGATTTACATAAGATTTCATTGCAGTAATAAATTCACATGATTTTACAATCCCTGGTGCCTAGCATTCCTCCTCACATCCCAAATCAATTCCTGCAAACTCTCTTCTTTATGTATAAGATTCCACCTGGTTCTGTTGTTTCCCCCATCAACCTATAATATGCAATAGGCCAATCCTCCAGCTAGGTACTCCTGACTAAGAACCTTTATTGTACTGTGTTTATCTAGTTATGAATAGGCCTCATTTTGTTTGTTGTGTGATTTCTTTTTTAAACTGTTTTCTTGTCTGATGCTGTCCAAAAAAAATCCTGTTAGAGAGATACATAAAATCATCAGAATCTGAATTTCCTAACTTACTTACATTATTTTTTTCTTACATTTAAACACATCTGTTAAAATTTTTTCTGCTGAATTGAAAAGTAAAAGTGACCAATCTTCTGTCTGTCTGTCTGTCTGTCTGTCTGTCTCTCTTCAGGCTGAAAATTCAGATGATGGGCCGGAGATGGGCTATGGCTCCTTCCATCAGCAGTACTGGCTGGATGGGCGTATCGTAGCTGTGGGTGTGGTAGACATCCTGCCCTCCTGTGTATCCTCTGTGTACTTGTACTACGACCCAGAATTCGCCTCACTGTCTCTGGGCTCCTACTCTGCTCTCAGGTGGGTCTCTACTGTTTGGTTGGGAACATGTTTAAGAGTTTTCTTATTCCAAATAGTGAAAATATGCTTGAGAAATAGTATGTTATTAGAGCTAGCAGGCTTCAGATTTTCTAAATTTGAGAGCTTGACTCAGTTTCATAAGTTAAAGTAAAATATATAGAAACATGTTTATGAGCCACAGGCTGGCCTCATGACCTACTCTCCCCTGTGGTCATAAACTTTGGGTAGTGACCAAAAGAACATTACGCAGATACAAGCGGTCAAACTGTGTTTCCTCCACAGGGTGCCTGCATGCACCCTGGTAAGGAGTTTGGAGTAGAGACGCTGCTCCTCCCTAAGGACACGCTGTAGGGACTATGCCACTTTGCTGGACTGGGAATGCCTTGGGATCCCTCCCAAAATAGTTAGAGCAAGTGTGTGTAGAAAGGGAAGGAGCCTCCCTGCTTAGGCTGCTGGAGATTGGGTTTAACATAGTCCTTTAAACCAAAAATTTAATCTCTAATTCTGTTAAGAAAGAAGGGGGCAATAGGAAAGGCTGGTTCACATGTTTCACATGTAAATGTTTGTTTATTGTAAATGGTGGCCAGTGTCTCACAGTGAAAGTAAAATCAGTGGTACCGTTGTATTAATTTAAGGCTTCATTTAGCTGTATCTTTATTATATGAACTTTGAAAACAACAAGATTACAGTGAAATGCTGTGTTTTAGATAAGGTTGTTTTAAAGATACAGTTTCGTGTTGAATAAAGGATCAAAGGAAATACATAAAAATGTTTTTTCAAGCTATTCTCAGACATTAGTAACATATTTGCTGTCACCATAAAGCGCCCTGAGCAGCTGGTAGCTTATTTAATGTTGCAGATATAACTGGCTTTATTGGGCCCCACATCTGTCATCAGCATCAGTGTTGAGTCTGTCCTTGGGTCTAATTTTGTTTTTTAAAAAAATGAATTGTGCAGCCAAGTAAAAATATGATGTCTGCCTTTTTGCAATAAATCTCCAATGAGCTCCTAAGTCCTGCAGTCTGAAGCTTATAAAACAAATGCCTAATTGCCTCTCACTACTACTTTAACTTTAAATGTAAAAGTTGTTGTAAAGGAAAAGCAATATTTCTTCTTTTAGTCTGAAATCCTCCCCCTTTTTGCCCATATACCAGCCTTCGCAAGCATTTGCTCCATCCTTTGATCTTCCCATCCCCTTAAATTCTTGCTTTGTACAACTGTATACTATAAACGCTGTGTAGTTTCCAGAGAAGTGCCCAGATTGTTTGAGGCAGGGTGAGTTTTGCGGTTCAGCTGACAGCAGAGCCAAAATGAAACAGGAGAGGGCACACATGCAGGCTACAGGACACAGATCCAGCTTTTCCTGTAAAATGTAACTCAATAATGTGCGAGGTGGTTTTGAGACATTTCTGTACAGATGTAGATCAGTGAAGGGATTCTGACTTCAAAGATTGACACGGGGTATTTATACTGTGACTGTGAACAAAAACTCCATATAATATCATTTAATTGTAATAATAATATGTGAAATCAAAATGTGTTCATCGCAGTGCCACAATTTTTTTTGCTTGTTTAGAGAAAGAAGACCTATTAGACAAAATCGACTTTTAACCATGTTATAGTTGTTTCCCCGCACTACTTACACTCTTGAAGTGATTTATGCAACCTTTAATCGCTTATTTTCAAGACTCCATATTACTGTTCAACTACCTTTTTCAACTGGCATATGCCCACTTCTCTGTACTAACTTTGTTCTCTAATTTAATTTTCTTGATGGGTGATACACGTATGAATCAGCAGTGTCGAATATAAATTTTGGTACAAATGACAAATAAATCTGCTCCTCGCTTGCGTGATCTGCAACTATCTATAATACTGACTCTTTGGTGGTCTTTGTTGGTTAGTTGGTTTATGCTGACATCGGCTCGATTGGGCACCGCAGTTTTCTAACGCAGAAGTCAGTGGACTTGCTTCTTTTATGAAGTTGTTTTAGATGATTATTGCGATTTAAAATGTGCAGATTATAATATAATGACCTACGGGTAGATTTTAACTATATCACAGGCTCAAGCACAATGTCTTTTTTAGTACAGAAATACTATTATGTAAGTGTTGTTTAGCTTAGTAAAGACTGAGGTATATCACATACTAGAATAGCAGCAAAATATATAGATTGTAGCAATTATTGTGTTGAATTATGATGGAGCCTGTGATTGCCAGCACAAATTTTTTTCTTAATGAGATTTTTCATTTGATTTCAGTTCATACAGGCTTAGTAGTATGTATTATATATGTATTATTCTGAAGATCTGGCTAAAGCTGTCGCTTTTTTTTCAAGTTGGCATTTCAGGCTGTGCTTTGTAAATCAGATATCAGTCATTCAAGAAGAGGCTGATCAAAAAAAAGAGCAGAATTAAACAGAAAAGAACCGATTCTCTTTAGATTTATTTATTGTCATTGTATGAAATACAACGAAACTTCGACAGAGCAAATCTGTAGCAGTAAAAATGAACAAATATAGACACATCCTCACATCCATACCAATAAAAAAAAAAAATTTAATAAATAAAATAAATAGATTATTGCATTGAGTCCCTTCAGGCCTTTTATCTGTGCCTGTGGCGCTGGAGCACATCCACTGTTCATGGGTAGAAGCTGTTGTGCAGCCTGTTTGTGCGTGTGAGGGGAGTTTGAAGCCTTCCTGAGGGGAGAGTATGGAAGAGGCAGTTCCCAGGGTGCGTGGGGTCCTGCAGAATATTGGAGGCCCGTGTGTGGAGACGTGAAGAGTAGATGGTGGCCAGGTTCGGGAGTGTGGAGCCAACCACCTTTTCAGCTGTTCTCACCACTCACTGCACCACTTCTCACCACTTCTCACCACTTTAACCAGTTGTTGTCAGTTGTAGTATTCACAAATTAAAAATTGCATTGCCCTGCACAGGTTTTTATTTCCTTGGTTTACTTCACTTTTATTTAGACAACATCTCTCAATCTATCTTTGAATAGAAATTTGTCAATATTTAGACTCTTCTTGCAGATTTTCCCCTGTCCTTGGCTTGGCACTATGGTAGGAAACAACTTGGTCATCAAACCCACAGCCCTTTGCGGTTTTAACTTTGAGAGTCCAGGTGTAACTGTCACTCACTGAGGCCTTGGAAAAGTGACTAAAATCCTGCTGTTTGTTTATTCTTCCATCCAGTCTCGACACTCCCAGGACGCTTTGCCAAGATCCACCAAACATGTGCCCAATGTTTTTGAATGCACAAATTGTCAACATCATGTTTTCCTGCAAACAACTACAAAAAGCTGTTTATATGCCGTCTCAACAGGTGATGGGGGTTCAGCAGGGATCAAAGTGTGCAGTTTAATTTTGGACTAAGAAGTGGATTTTAATTGCATATAAATCAGTTTGCATGGAGATGTTGATGAAGATTTGACAGGCCGATCCGATGACTGTGGACTTGTTTGCAGAACTAAATCCGGCCGACGTGGAAATACAGAAATGGCTGTATATGGCGAGATGATTAAAGTAAATAAATACATGAAAAATACTACATTACACCATAGATCTAGATTTGAAGCAAGCCAAATACCTACATGAACAAATCATTATTACTACCTTTTTGTAACTTACCAAATTCACATTTTTAAGCCCTTTGTAATTGTAATTGTGTACCAATGTGTAATGTGTACCAAATCTGGGATGCATTGTATTTGATTATCTTGAATATATTTAGTGTTTACCAAACTAGACGCCTGTATTACTTTGACTAATTTAGCAATTTTTTGTTGATTGTCGCTTTTGGTGTATTAGTAATACACGCATGCATTTCACCTGAAGAAACAGAAGAGGGAGGTGTTGAGAGAATTCTTAGAAAACCACAGCTTTTTTTTCCACATGAGCACAGAGCACATAACAGAAAGGAAAGAGAGAGAAGAGGAGAAGGAGGAGGGAGAGAGAGGAGGGGACAAGGAAAGCGAGAGGAGGAGGAGGAGGAGGAGAGAGAGTGACATAAAGATGGGCCTGGGGCAGCGTGCAGGGTCCCACACTGGATCACTTTCACTGGGATGTCCCCTCATGTGTCTCACTGTGATCCGAACTCCAAGAATTTACTGATTTCTAAGATTTTAATACTCACTTCAGACTGATCTTAACTTTGATTTTGTCACCATTTTATAGGCTACATCAGGCTTTCATTATCAAACTCATTCGTATCATATTTGAATCCATCACGACTCCTTTAACTTGTTTTGTAAATTAAAATCTTCAGTCCCCACCTCTTATTTTTTGACAATTGAATCATACTTTGTCGTCTCCATTTGTGGTTGCACTGAAGTCTTTCCTCTGCAGTGATCAGCTCGTGGTATGCACTGCCGTGGCCCTCTTGTGTGCGTATGGGTGTGAGGGGAGCTGTCCGGAGCAGAAGCCTTGATAATTGGCTTGTGCTGGAGTGTCAGATGGCTGAAGAGGGGATAATGGTGGACTCAAGCTGCTGCTGTGGGGGTGGCAGGGCGGGGGCAGTCTTTTTTGTGAATGAGCCCCTCTCCTCTCCGGGACCCCCTCTAGTCCATTCAAGCCCCTTTGTGGTGGCGGGATGGGAACCCAGGAACCTGGCAGCAAGCGGGTGACCTTCTAGCACCTCGCTGTAGCTGCCTCTTCTCTCCCTGCTTTATATTCCGCTCCCTCTCTCCCCCCTCGTCCCAAGTAAGCTTTGTCCCATGTCTTATTTTTCAGTATTTTATTTTAAGGCCTCTTTCTACCCCCAAGCTCTTAAGTTTGCTAAGAAAAGAGGAATTGAGCGGTTTTGGGGTTGGAAGGAGAAGTGGGACAAAAAGAGGAAAAGAAAGACCACTGGAATTTCGTTGTGGAAATGTGAAGGAAAAGAGGCTTTCAGTAAAAGGATGCAATTAAGAAGGAGACTATTGGAGGCAGGACATTTACTGTATTTGAAGAAGTGGCGTAAATCTCCCACCTTCTAAATCTTTATTTTAAAAGATTGAGCTGCTTTCACAACTCTCTTTCTACTCCATGCGGATGGAGCGAAGCAGTTGTTTTTGTGTAATGGAATCAAATAGAAAAAAGTCCAGAGTTAAATCTTCCACATGCTAATTTATATTGTTTTAGTCTACTTATTTACATAGCTACTCCATTCTTATTTGTGCGCTAGCATTGGAAAACAAATCTACTTTTTTTTCTCATAGACAGGCTTTTGAAAGTTTTAACCAAAATAAATTGCATCTGCTAAATCTTCTAATGCAAACTTCTGGCCAGCTAATGCTATTACATTATTGCAAAACTAATCCAGGACATCATTTAGTGTTACAACTGCATGGCAAGTTTATCATTTCTTTCTTTTGTTTTAGTTAGTTTTGTTTTCATTATGTTTTCATTTTGATAATGTGGTAATTAAGATTATCAGGGGCTTATTTTAATATAAGAAAGTACTTCGCGAGAGGAGTTCTTGGTTTGTGTCAGGAAGGGCATCCAGTGGAAAATCTTGTCAATTTACTGTTTAAAAGCTTCTCAAACATTAATTGCCTCCCTAGAGTTTATGTGTTCTTGGCCAGTCATTTTTTTATGAACTTGAAAACCAATTTGGAAGCAACATTTAGTATTCTGGTGCATATACATTTAAGATAAAAAGCGAAGGTTGTTAAATTATTATGAATTCTACAATGCCAAACTATTCAACAGACCTTCAGACTGCAGCTCAAACCTCTGCAATGCGGTGAGCTGCTTCCATCGACTCGGACAGTAGAAGTTCAGGACTCGGGAGGGCTCTTTTTAAACAAATATAAAATATAGAAAGCTGAAAACTGCTCCTCTTAAAATGTGTTTCATATTTGTGTGTTTTGCTGCAGGGAGATTGCCTTCACCAGACAGCTGCAGAAACAGTCCCCCAAGCTCTGCTACTACTACCTGGGCTTCTACATCCACTCCTGCCCCAAGATGCGCTACAAGGTATGCACTACATATTTAACACTGGCATATTAACAGACTCCCAGATCCATTGGACTCATCAAGGTTTATCTAAACTATTAAAAAGTTATTCACCGTATACTCATGATTTATATGCTTGGATTTAGTGGCTGCATTTGGTATTTTGCGCAATTGGAATTAACTTGAACAAGTGATATGACATTTTATAAATACATATATGTATTTGTATAAATCTTTACAGTTCTAGTGAAAAACAACATTTTGTATTCAGAAGTAGAGATGTAACAATAAATGAAATATCGTGATATCGTAAAAAGTCTCACTTTAATATCGTGGGCTGTCACAATATATCGAATCACAAGTTCTTTTGCTTAAATGCATGGTTTTATTGTAGCAGTAGACATAGACATGGGGAACTACATATCCCAAGATTCATTTCAGTGCAGACAACATGAAGAGATATGTTTTTTATGTGAACTCTTGGGATTATGACGGTAATAATTCACACCAAAATCTTGTCAAGGTATTTTAAAAGCAAAAAAGTGTCCCATCTACAATTATATTAGCCTCTTCAAAATATTGCAATAAATATCTTACTGTAAGATGCATATCGTGACAATATCGTACTGTGAGATTTCGATATTGTTACATCCCTATTCAGAAGGCAATAGTGCAAATTCTTGTCCTGAAGTTTAACTTTTAAAAGCCCGAAATGAAAAATAGTTCTAGTCCATATTTTGCCCCAAACCCAGACTGTGACATAATGAGAGTGAGAGGAGAAACAGGAGACGAGGCTGTAGAAGACATTAGAGGTTGAGAGAGAGGTCAGCGCAACGACAGCCGCTGTAACTCACAAATACAGCCAGCTTTAGTGTGAATGTGCTACATGGACAGCGCTGGGATAAAGTGTCGGGAATAGATCTGGAAATAAAGATTATGAAGAATTAAGGTGCATGAAAGTAAAATGGAAACATTTGAAAAGTATAGACTGCCAAGCCTCTGGTTTGATCATGCCATAGTGAAAATATTGTTTGGATCGATTTGACAGCAGTCCCTTTGCTAAATGCATAAAGGCAACCCACCAGCACAGCATGGTGCCTGAATGGTTTTTACTCTCTCCTTACGCAAAGAAGGGTCCAGGTTTGATTCCTGAGCTGCCTAAGTCTCTCTGTTTGGAGTTTATCCCTGTCTCTAGGTGGGTTTCCCTGGTTTCAACTCAAAATATGCAAAATAGGTTAAATTCTCCAGCTAAGATCATCCTGACCAAGCCTAATTCAGCATCTGGACATGGGTCCCTGGACACTACACTGTGGCACTGTGGCATGCCTCAACAGCATTGAAGAATGGGTCAGAGAGCAACACACTGTACCTTAACCTTTATGCTTAAACCTAAATATACACATACATTTTTTTCTACTTTTTGTTATCCAATTATTAGTTCAATCCATACCAAAACTTGCACCTGCCCTGACCCATCCTGAAGTTTTGCAAAAAAACAACTAAAAAGATAATTTTTGCATTAATCAAAATGACGTTTATTTATTTACAGCTCTGATTTCCCAACACACCGCATACTAGAGCTGCTCTTCAAAGCCCATTAGTTTAGCAGAGAACCTTCTTTCATCTCTTCTTTGTCTTAATCATGTATTAATCCCTCTTTCTCTGCGTTAAATGAAATGTTCCCATCGATCGCCTGCAGTTGTGGGGACTTCTTGTCTGGGCTTATGGCTGCGTGCCACATCTCTTCATCCCTTTACATCTTGTTTCGGTGAAGCTTTTGCATTGTTCCTCTGCCCAGTTTCTGCATATGGGCCTGCTTATGCCTGCATGTTTTTGAATTTGGATCTCAGTGTTTGTCTGGGAGCTCTGTTACCCCAGCTTCTGCCCCCCGTGTGATGGCATGTACCCCCCCTACACCTCCATATCTCTACCCCTCGTGTATGCATCCTTTCTCCTTTCCTCTCTTCAGTTTTATACTTGTGGAGGAGCTCTGAACAAGGGTGAGGAGGTTGCCCGGTTCCCACCTTTCGCAGGCTGCCGAGAGCATTCAGTGTCTTCTCACATTTGCATATTAAGTTGTGGAGTTCATTAATGCGCGGGCGTACTGTGTTATTGTGGCGTCTCTCTCAGCCGCTCCATGAGGCTGTATTGTAGTGGGCCTAACCACCTTCTGGAGCTGAGGTCTGAGCCGGGTTTTTGTGCAGATCTAAACAGCAGCTTTTTACGCTCTCTGCTAGACTCCACTCTGACACCACTCCTCTCAGCGCCCCACTGCTCAGGCCTAAGCCTGGGCACAACAACATATGTGCAGCCGTACTCTTACTGACTGTGAAGGGCGATATGGTAAAAAAAAATCGCAATTTGAGTTGGAAAGATTAGCAAAATATTAATAATACTGTGAAGTGAAGACTTGTCATGCCACTTTTGTCAAATACTTAAACTTCAACATATTCCTGTAGGATTGATTGTTTCCTGAATATTGTCATTGACCTTAAATATTGAGAGATACATTTTTGTCAATATAGTCCATCCCTAATCACAATAATTTTTCTTGTATTGATGAGCCACTTAAATTTTTTGTTTTTCTCATTCAAAAACACACACACACACACACACACAAAAATTATATTATATTAAAATATTTTAATTATGAATTTCATGAACATCAGCAGACTTTTTATCATAGCCATTTCACACAAAACCTTAAATTTCTTCCTTCCCAATGTCCAAACTCACTCCAAACCACATGCTTTCACAGAGGATTAGTTGTACATGTCTCAATTAAAAAGTCCCAATCTTATAATTGAAGATTTTAAATATTTTTATCTAATTGGATTAAAATTAGATTAATCGCACAGCACAGCTCTGCTATGAAATACTGCCCTCTACTTTTCCCAACTCTTTAATGGTCTCCGACTTCACACATTATTCATGAGAAGTTTGACATATTTGACAAAGTGTATGAAAGATGTATATTGTTTATTGTTGTCCATTTGTCTCAGACCTTCTGTATGCATGGGCCTGAAATTGTTGGTGTTTAGCAAAATGAAATTTGCTTTGACGAGTTTCCTCTCTGGAATTTCAGCCCATTGTCTGTGCAGTAGTCTCTTATCCTGAGGAGCAATACTGGAGCATTGTTTGTGTAACAGACACCAGGTGCATTGTGGGGCGTTTTCTGCTGACTGGATAGTGTTTATGGACAAACTGGATTTTTGAAAAAGAAGTTGTAAGGTAAGACTTTCTTGAGCCTCCACCTGAGACGTCCCATTGTCTGTTTAGCCTCTTAAAGGTTGTTTAGATTCATCTTTTGCACCTAGTGTTTGTATAAGCACTTTTTGTCATGCAATGTTTTCAAGCTACAGGCACACGTTACGTAAAGAAAATATAATGGAAAATTAAAAAAAAAATCATGAACAAATCATGTCACACACAAAATGGAGTATTTTAAACTTTTTTTTAAATTATCACTATGTAATTTGTCCAAGCCAGTGCCAAACTAGAAATGATTTATCGGGGACGGCATCTGGCATAAGATCAGCTACAGCAATATGAATCTCTTTACATTTCCCAACACAGGGTGATGATTTGTTGGCTCAGAGGGCAATAGAAAAATGATATATTGTGTTAACATAAGCCCAAAATATATGATTTCACAATTCTGACCCCAAAACAAATAGTTTGTTCCATCATAATCCAATTTACTGACATGCCACTTACTCACCCCATGTGCCAGTGCTTTTAAAGTACTATTAAGAGCCCAGTCAGTCTTGTTGAGTGTGCAGAATGTCTTTAAATGCCCCGGAAAACTTGGAGTCCATCCAGGATCAGAGGGTTTTGGCCTGGTCCGACCCTGTCCTTTGTCCTCAAGGCAGGACGTCCCACAGAGGCGCACTGGTTTGGCTGGTGGGATGGTGGGCAGAGGGGCAAAGGGGCGAGACGTGACATCCTGCTCCGGCCTCTCTCTTGGCTCTGGTCTCATCTGCCCTGGCCTGTCTTGGCTGGGGTCTCCTGGATCTGGCTGAGTTTGATGCTGAGCCGCAGAAGGAGCAGAAGGTGACGTTAAATGAGCTCAAAGGTCTCTGCCCTCTGTCCCCCAGCCCTCACCTCCTTTCACCCCATCATCCCCCTTGTCACCCCCTGTCACCTCCCTGTCTGTGGTTCTCATTTGTGGATTAGAGTTGGAGCAGTAAGATGCTTTTATCTCTTATACAAACAAAGAGGCACCAAAAATTTTATGAGTCAATATTACATCAAGCATTTGAATTTTGACAGCTCAAAAGAAAAATATACCATAGAAATTGTTTGTCCCTGTTTGTTGCTTAACTGTGGTACTTGGTCCGCAGTTAAACCCAATGCACTGCACAGTATTTGACCTATATTCTAGTAATGTTACTTGGCCCACAGTTAAATCTAATGCACTGCACAGTATTTGGCCTATATACTATTAAACGGTCAAGTTGCTACATGTGAAACTTCACAGGTTGTTCTGTGCTTAATGTTAATTGTCAAAAAGGCCTAGAGTCACAAATGCATATTTTTATGGTTCATAAGAAATCAAGTTGTTACAAGTGAAACTGCAGGTGCAAAGTTCTCATCAAGGAAAAATGTCTTCTAAAATTACACTTTTGACTCAAAAGAAATGGAATGAATGTGATCAAACTAGAGTGATTAATGGGCCTCAATATCAATTATGTCACAGTATATTTTATATCTTACAAAGAATTAAATATTGTATCCCTAGAGGATCAAACTTCTGGGTAGTAAAATATAGTTTCACTGGATTATCTAATATTTTCCATTTTATCTTCTATGAAATAGTACTGTCAAACAGGTTACGAGGTTACTTGAACGGGTTCAGATTGATGAAAAATGACCATAGTTGTCACAACAAGTAACAATTCAAAACAAGATGTTGTGTCTTTTGAGTGGCCAATGTGTTTAAAATATTGCCTATAAACAGGAAATTGAAACCCATAGATAAACTTCCCTCGCAAATTCATAATATTGTTAGTTTGCAACTG